GCACCTGGAGCACGTATAGTACGCCTCGCCAGTTATTCCAGTGCCTTGACCTTCAATGCACCTTGCCGTGACGTCACAACTTGTTACAGTCTACTAGAAAGCCTTATTTTGGAGAAAGTGGCACGACAGCGTCCGAACCACACACAGCTGTTTTCCTCCTCCTCCTCCTTGCTCCATCTTCTAGCCCTTAATTGTTCTTCAGGTCTCGTGGTTTATCCCCCGCTCACCCCCTCGTTCGGCCACTCTCGCTGTCATTCTCGACATCGCGAACACCCCCGTACCTCTGCTTCTGTCGCTGCTTTCTCTCTGAAGATAAATCCGACTTTAACTTTCACTGCTTTTCTTCTAAGCTTTAGTTATTTTCGACCAATCCATTTTCCAAAATCATCCCTAGGTCGTGCCCAGTATTTTATTATGTATTTCTTCCATGTAATACGCTGGCAAGCTTGTGTATTCGGATGCAAGGATTTAGATCGGTGTTTATGTGCGGTGTGTATTTTTCTTTTATATAATAGCCTCTTCACGACGGCGCTGGTAGCACTTTCGTACTTTGTCTTGTTCAGCTTTTTATGTCCATTTTGTAGTTGAACATTGTTAGCGTTGAAGCACGTCGTCAGTAAAACAGGCCGACATCAGTACAGTTATGTGCATAGCATTTTGTTTTCTGACAGTGCCTTAGCGCAGAATATTTTTCTAAACTCACACAGCCTTAGTCTCGCCTCTCCACGGAATGACCAGCTTTACTCTTCAGAATATTTGTACGCATTGTGTAGGAGGGTGGCTGGGCCTGAGAAAAGTTTGGGCGAGGAGGTTACGAAGAACGCTCCTAAAGCATTTGCTGGGATTTGAAATCTCTTTACTTACGGTTCGTTGTGTGGAAGTGAAACATGTACATGTTCATTGTGAAGAAAAAAGCACTTGTGTCTCGAGACTACGTATTTCAGACCGAATTTCGTGGCTGAGTTCAGACATTCATAAAAGTATCGTACATGCAAAACCGAATATGTTCAATGCATTCGAATTACAATCCTCGGAGTTGTGACATCGTGTAGCTTTACAAGTGATTACATACGTTTCGGACGGTAGTGAAAATGGAGGCGATGTTTTCCTCCGAAACATCGGTAATCACGTGCTGAACTACAGGGCGTCACATCCCGAGTGAAGCACTTGCCTGCAGCTGCTGGTTGGCGTACTGTCCCCCGCGCCCACCTTGTTGCTGCGGTGGCGGGCGGCGGTTTTGCTGCGTCTGTTGTCGCACCACGGCAATGGGCTGCTGGTAGTCCCTGCTGTTGTCTGTAGCTACAGGCTTCCTGTAGATCTGCTGGGGCTGCGGCGTGGGGTGCGACTGCCGCAAGAGGAGCAGCGCCTGCGGTCCGGTCGACGGCGTCACCGTGTTGCGGCTCACCACGTCTTCCTCGTCGTCCTCATCTACCGGGGCTGCCTGGAACCCCTGGGGCGACGGGCCCCCTACGCCCGGATACCGCGTCACTGGGTACTGCTTGGCCGTCGGCCCTCGCGTCAATCCCTGTCCGTGGTAATATCCGCTACAGCAGCACAAACAGCTTCATCCTGCGCAAGTAATTAGTTTTTGATCCAAAATTTTTTCGGGCCTCCAGCTGTACCGAAATCACACGTTATGTTTGCGCCTGACGAGCGTATTCTCTGCTTTAAGAGGAACGACACACGGAATTATTTTCCTAAAACGTAACAATAAAATTAATGAACTTTGTGCATCAGGAAGTTTACTTTGCCAACAAGAATTGGAACATTACAAGTTTTAAAATATTCAGACTTTGATTAAACCGCGTTCTGCAATAAAGGTTTGTAGTTAGTTAATGTGCAAAGGAGCCTTTAGTTCCCGATAGTAGCGAAACAATTTCTATTCCGTTGGTATAGTTTCTGGAAAGTCGTGGGAAATCCAGCCCCGGTTCCCACAGAACCCACCGCCACTAAAGAAAAACAACTTCGTGATTTTTCCCAGTCTCTTGCAGTAGCTTCGATATGTTGCAACACTGCCTATCGCGGTTCAGTGGCCCAGAGAGAAAGTTGAATTCTTTCTGCTTTTAAGTAAAAGTTCCCTGCTATAGTTTTTGCAGTATTTCATGGTACCAAGAAGTTTGACACCACTGACGTTCCTATCTCGCTACGTGGCGGTGCGATCGCTCAAGACGTGTCCCTTCACAAGATCTTGTTTGGGTTCGAGGAGCAACTCATTCCGGTTTCCATAATAACGCGTTTCCTCAGATCAGTGTAACTCAAACTCAGCGGACAGACAGACATACTTAAGCAGTTCTTCGAACCCCTAACATTGAATTTCCTCGCGTGCCCCTATGGAAACCTGCGGAACGTGATAACTTACCCAGCATATGGAGCAGAACTGAAGTACAGTACGCTACAGTTATCGGCCCTCGTTTTGACTAAAATAAGATGCCGGTGCAGTGAAGCTCGGTCAGTATAGCGACTGTGTCTCGGGTTGGAGAAAATGGGTTCGATTCCATGCAGGGACAGGATTCGTTTTCCCTTGACCACCGCTGTGCCGAGGTCGACTCTGGAACCCACCAGATGGGTTCCGACCACTCTTCTCCCTTCGATGGGGGCGGTGAACCGGTGAGATTGTTGGGCGGCAACTCTGACGAATTCCATCTAGTGCCGAAACAATGCCCTCTATCCTTTGTCTTCACGAAAATACCTTTTAGAAACATGCTTGCCATTGCATGGTCAGTGTCTACCAGACTGCACAATGCTACATCCCAAAAGACACCCATCTTCATATTCCTCGCCGTAACACCCTCAAATGTTACCAAAAACATTTTCATCTCCGCAAATAGGCGAGTCTGGCCGATACAAAATGCATTCGACATGGCCGTTTTAGTGCAGTGTGATGGAATTCAGCCCGTAGGAACTGAACTTTCACCAGCAAATGGGCTAACAATGTGTTCGCATTCCGTAAACATGGAAACTATGTAACGTGCGCGCCAACAAAGTTGACTGGCAGGCGGAATGAACTAACATGCATGCGCATTTATTTCTCTGACGAAAGAAACCTACAGCCTAGCTGATCAAAGTATTGCCAATGGTTATATTGAAAATGTTGGTCGTTGTGATCTCGAATTGTTGTCAGTGTTCTGAGGGGTGAGATACACTTGTGTATGCTGGACCAGTTAGAAGGGGGTCATGGATCTGGTGAAACCAATGACTGGCTGATATCGAGAGTGGACCTTGACACAAGAGAAAGCAGGGCAAAAGTGGTTCACAACGAAATATATGTATGTTGTGGAACTGGAAGTTTCGTTTCGTTTCAGTTTGATGCAGCTTAATGCACTTCATATTTTCGCAACAAATATGTCTGAGAACCATTTTAATAGTTTCCTATCAATGACGTAAATGTTTACCAAGATGTATCTTCCCTTCAGGTGTTACGAATAAAATTTTGTATGCATTTCCGGTATCGCCCGGAAAATTGTACAAGTTCCTCGCGTGTTTTTATGCGTCCTTCACGCTCTGGCGTGATGTGTCGTGAAAAACACCTCAAAAGAGTACACATTTTCAATCATCTCACCAGGCACCCAGTTTTCCTCGTACATTGCGATATTTATTTTTCCCTCCCCCAGGGACCACACATTGCGCCCAATATTTTAGGTTTGTACGTGGTAGCACGTATCTAAACAATTTAAACACAAAACCAAGATGGTGTACGCGGGAAATGTCCAAGTTCCACGCATTTTAACCTCGGCGTCGGATCTTGTGGCTAGGGTAACGGCCCGGCCCATAGCCAGCCAGTCAGTTTGCAGACAACCGTCCCTGTCATACATGTATTTACATTAGCTGGCTCGAGAGGATTTTGAGCCAGTTACAGTCAGCGGAAGAAATTGGCGAGACATTGTATCCGCGGCAGGGACCAGCTTGATACATCGTGTTTTTGATTGGGCGAATTTTGACGAAATTGAGGCCAGAAGCTGGATAAATTCAATTTTGAGTCACATAACGTTTTGTCAGCTCACAAAGATTACAATTTCACTATTCGTTGTCGATCTTGGTCTTGTGTAACACCGTTCGGACTCGTAGGTAGATACCAACGTTTAGGAGAAGCATGCTGTCTCTGTCTTCAGGGTATCGGCCTGCAAGTCCACACACCCCATACGACCAACATCGACTAATTTCACAGTTGCGTCTTTGAAATACTAAATTGTGCGATGAAATTGATAATTTTATTCGGACAGTAGCGGTTGCTATGCGTTAGTCCACGAGTTATCACCAGACGATGATGTGGCTCTTCTCAGCAGCACCTACCTGCAGTTTCTCTCGGTCCGGTCAGTAGCACAACACAGAAGGAAACTCTCGCCGGCCGCCGAGCCACGCTTTATATACAGATCCAGCTAACCTCATTGCCCAGCCAGTCCCTCAACGGTGAAGCGGGGGCAGTATTGGGGTGCGATGTGTGGACCTCGCGTAAGAAAACAAACATTGTTTTTGGGGTTGGTGTTAACTCCACGAATAGTTCCAGAATTTTTCTGCCGCAATTTTTGCGCTTTGCGATTTCGTCGCTGTCAAGTTACACTCGCAAAATTTTAGTGGGGAAATCTCCAGGAAAATGAACGTTTGGAAGACCGATAAGATGTACGAACGACTTTGGGTGGAAATGACTCAGTATGGCGCCCAGTGGCGGCGGGCTTTGATACTGGCGAAGGTACATAGTGGTTGAGTAGTGATTAAGAAAGAAAGAAATGCATTTTTACTACGCGCTTATCCTGTTTAATTTGAAATCAAGTTCAGGAAAACAACGTGCCTCTTGGAAAGTCATTACAGACGAAAATCTAAAATTAAATCTATTCCCCAAAAACACATCATGAAAAGAGTCACTTCAATTTCTTACGAGATCTGCTGTTTCCGTCGGCACAATTTTGTGAATCAGGTGCACAATTAGATATGCGGGTGGCGGAATGTCACGTGGGTTGTGTTGTGCTGTTTATACTGACAAAGATCATGGTCTTAAAAATCATGTTTACATCGTGTCCTGCTATTCCTCTGTTGAGTGTTTGTTACAGTCCCCCCTCCCCACCAGAGACCTGCATTGTTCTTGATGAATTTTGAACCTGCCAGACTGCAGCCGTCGTTGATCTCCATGGAAACAATGCGTCGTCACCATGCACTTCGCTCGGAGAACGCGTAATAAGGAGCTAGCTCGGTATAGTCGCGTTACATAATTGTGATTACGAAATCGCATTGACTTCGTCGGTTGCACAAGACGCGGAAATGTGCTGACAAATTAAACCACTGCTTGAAGCTAACGAAATAAAATTCATGCACTTGCCTCAGAGTAAACGACTCCCGATCTGCGGGCGTACTGAGTCAGGGTAGACTGTGAGTGGTTACTTGAACAGAAACCTCCGTTGAGGGAGATGGCCGTGGTTTATTTCAATCCATTATCTCGGAATTTTCTTTTAGGAACCGAGGAGCACTGCGAATATTTGTAATCGACGGTTACAGTGGCGCGATCAGCTCCCCTGCGTTTACTCAGGAGCTCCCACATTTTGACCCGGAGGCTGGCTGTCGTGTGACAGTGTTTTCGTTGTTTTGATCTCTCGTTACCAAGTGATTCATTTCTAACTCGTCTGATTACGACAGACACTTGTTAGTGTCGCTCGAGACATTTAAGTGTCTAAACACCGCTCTGCTATCCGTTCTGGAGGTAGTTGATTCGAATCTAGCCCGAATCTTAGTCAGGTCTTAAAATAGTTCACGGTAGCTTCCACTGCCTATCTGAAATGCTGGAGTTAATCTTACACAAAAGCTGAATATTGCTTACTCTTCTAAACGAGCGGGAAACTTCGTTTGTCAGTCTGTTAACAGATTGTTAAGTTACACGAAGGAACAAATGACTGTGGGATGGATGCGGTTTTTAGACTACGCTTCATTTTATTTTGTTAGTGACAGCATCTAAATAGGCAAGGTGAGTGGGACATGTAGCACGCAACAAAGTGTTGGTAGTGTTGGTACTACAGCCTCAAGCGAAGAGACAGTTTGGAGTACCGAGATGTCGATGGACGGATAATATTAAAACAGATCATAGAGAAATATGTTGGGAATTTATGGGCGGGAGAACATTGCATAATGAAGAGCTTCATAATTTGTAGTCCTCATGTCTACCAAATATTATTATGATGATCAAATGAAGAAGGGGTAGAAGAGTAGGGCGTGTAGCGCGCATGGAGGAGACGGGAAATACGTACAATTTTTTGTGAGAAAGTTAAAAGAAATAGACCACTTGGAAGACCTAGACATAGATGGGAGGATATTATTAAACTGTGTGTTAAGGAAATAGTGTGGTCGGGCGAGGACTGATCTATGTGGCTCAGGACAGAGACCGTGGAGGGTTTTAGTGAACGTGGGAATGAAATTTCGAGTTCCATTAAAGGCAAGGAATTCGTTTACCAGCTGAGTGGCCGCATCCGCTGGAGACGATCCTGAACCGTGTTGTTAGTGTGTGATATTTCGATGCAGTTGATAAGGTGCATGAAACTTCATGCCTTTCCGAGTGAAAGTGATACCGAGCTACCGAGGGAAATGTGTGTCTGGCGTCTTGCTCTTGCATAGCTGCGTCTGAATAACGTCATAATTTGCGGCCCACATTCTGAAGCGTGAGTCCCCCCCCCCACATCCCAATGGACCAAAAGGGGCCCAAGGTCAGCATAGGGTGTGCACCATTCTGTTTCTTGTTTCCACTTTCTGGAGAGAAGAGCGCACCCTGTGACGAATATTTCATGGATTATGGGGCAGTCAGCAGTGAACAGTAGATACAGTTTTTTACATAAACTACTCAGCTGTCATAGGTCAGGCCCTGTGGTCTGTTTCTAGCTTGAAATTGGTAATGCCTAGGCATTTTGAAAGGGGGACTGCAAAGTTTGTACTTGTGCGCTGAGCAGGACTCGAAGTCCCAATTCCTGTGATCGAGCGCTACCAAGTCTTTCGTGCCCACTGCCCTTAGTTGCTTTATGGCGTTGACGTTGATAGTTATTTGAGCGTTCAGGTTGTGGTCTGTGCCACCGAATAGTCTTGTCAGTGGTTACCATTTCGTGGGAAGATCAAAACTCCTTCTCTGAAACGGAGGCAGTAGGTTACTTCGAGGAGTTAGGAACCACATACAAGACTGTGGTGTCATTACACAGTTTCAGCTGAAGTAATTTACTTCTTTACGCCGTGGCTAATGTTAAATACGTGGGACAGGAATGGAAGGACGAAGCTTGACGGTCTTCTAGGATGTTGCGACGTGTCGGTCATTTTATGCCAGATTGCACGGCGCAACATCCTAGGAGTCGTGCGAACCCGAAATGTCGCTTGGTTTAATTTGTTTATTTAACCATACTGTATCAGCTTCACAGGATATGCATCTTTGAATGAGATCAGTGAACTGCAAATGACTGGGTGGAACGGCGTCGTGCCTGTTCTGGCTTCTGTCTGAATATGCTCGTACTGGGTAGCTGAGACTCGAACCGGGTACTTCCCGAAGCGTTACCGCCAGATCATGTGTGCTGTGTGGCGAGAGACATGCACGCAGCTGCAGAGTCATTGTCCTCTTGTTCGGTAAAAGTTGTGCTGCAAGGCCGGTAACTGGACGTTTTGTCTTCACAACGAATTGAAAGCAATTCACCACGCTGCCCGTTCATTTCGTCGCCTTGCCAGTTCTCAAGAGATCTGAGCATTCTAGCTCAGCGGTAGGTGTCTGGAACGTATTCTGGTGGTAAGTGGTTCGAAGTCTGGGTGGGATGTTTCGTGCTGAATTTCCTTGCTAATCACAAGCGGTGCCAGCCATCCTGTTTGCTCCATAGTGCCCGCGTAGTGGGCTTAATGAGATATCCTAAGTTGCTGCGTAGAAACCGTACAGTATGAACAAGAATTAATTCAACAAATGGTGAACTACTTAGTCAGCAAGTGGGTGCAGGCGCTGATGTAGAGGCGGCCTGTGGCCCTAAACTTGGCACTTCCGCCCTCCGCCCATTCACGGATAGTCAGAGCCCCGAGCTATGTGTGTACCCGTTCAGTGCGTGATATAACAAGGCGTTAAATTTCCGGTTTCGGCGTAGACCTGGTGAAAGCACGATGCGGTAATGAACCTTCTGGTTTCATAGGAGGCGAGGAATTTCTGTGCCAGCTGATCCACGGTCAGCTTTTGAATAAGAGTTCTGCTCGACGGATACAAGAGTTAGAGTTAGATGAAAACGATGCGAAAGTGGCCCTGGTGTTTCGTTAAACGTACACACTATTACAAATGTTTTAGTAAAACTTACATATCTTAATGTAACCCACATGTTGCCACGTTGAAGCATCAATCGTTAGCATTCATGTGGATCGCGTATCAAAGCCGCTATGTTCGTGTGTGTATGTACATAACACCTTGAGGCCCGTGAAAGAATTTTCATGAAATTTTGTATTGGGAGTTCGACAAAAATGCGTCGAAACAATTCACTTTTGGTTAAGATAAAGCAATAATTACGATCACTCCACAAGACCTGCAGAGTTCAGAAAGGTCAGGCGTCAAATTCTGGCGGACACGCCAGGACTGTAACTCCGATTAAAACGGAATTCCCGCAGAACTGTGAAGGTAGGGCCCATTACCAACTTCGACTGTAAAATGTCGAGAGAACGTGACTGTGTTTTCGTTCCGTGCTTGCTATGGGCCAGCGTGCAGTTGGGTTTGCCTCTAGATGAATGATGTGATAAATTAGTCTTCCAGACTGTACAAAGTTGAAAGTGGAGAGCAAAGCAGAGCGTGTTAATGGCTTTCAGAAAACGTGACCACTGATGTCTAAGTCACGAGACGCTGCAACGCTGAAGGGCAAGGTACGAACGACGCTGTTGGTTTCAGGCTGCGTAACGTTTCATTTAGGGCGTCGTGTCGATAAATTAGCGTAACACTTGCTACTTTTCATTACGCAGATCCACGAGTCACATATCATGTTGATGCAAGTGCTGGTTATTTCATCTACAAATAAATATTACTATTTTAACTGGGGTTTGTCAGAGACACTGTCTGATACCCAAGGCATCGATTAAACAGGGTGTGACGATGTGGGTCGTATTCATATCTCAGGATGGGTCCCCTGATTGGCTGTTGTGAACATGGCAATAAAAGGCGTGGGACTTCTTGTCGAGCTAAACGACTATTAGCTTTTATGAAAGACCTCTGCGCCTTGGAGTTGGTTATTCCAAGACTGTTAGGAGACGGGGTTGAACTCCTGCTATAAAAACTGTACTGTACTCACCGCTAGCCCTGGAGATAATTCGCCCTGTCTTGAGCCTGCTTTCATCAGTGTTACCCCTCACTATTTTGAGTGTATATCTTGTTTCTCCCACGTAGCGAATCTTTATGATGCGCGAGGCTGTAAGTTAAGTATTGATTATGATAATGTGATATCAGCTGTAGCTTTGTTTGTGATATTTATTAATGCTGTATCAATAAGATGAAGTGATATTGTACGATGAATTGTGAGGGATTTTACAGGAGACGCATGCGGCTTCGTTTAAGGTACTGTAACTGCATTAGATTGAAAGGGATGGCCAGAACCACGAACACATCAGGACAATTGGTGGTTTGCCCGAGATCCAGTTACTAGTCCGTGAACAACAAATACCATGAAGTGTCATGGGGCGAGTAAGGCCTCGCAAATTCTGATATAACCTGCTCGGTATTTTTGTTATATTGTTCCATTGTTTAAGAAATGGAGAACGAGTGAGTCGTGTCTGTCAGCCGAGGAGACCCCACAGAACAATTTATGTTTTGTTGTGATTTTTGTGGACAGTAAAAGTGTGTGATCAATGTTTCTCCGATGAATATTTTTCTTGCTTTATGTGTACATTCTCGAAAGCCAGTGGTTGGTTGTTCCGTTCGCAAGTCTTCTTCGAATGTGGTTCCTACAGAACTCATTTCCACCGATTTCTAAGCCAGAGTTCTTCTGGGTTCCATGACAATTTCTATATCGTTCCTTACTCTGCTTGTACTTTCTCCTTTGTCCGGCCTGTGCACGTTCTCTTCATACCTCGCAACGCCCCTCCTTCATTGCAGAATACGAGCATTGTCACCGCCTGAGCCTCTCGCAGAATAAGCGAGACTGCAGGTGCACTGCACG